CACAGAGCTACTCTCTCCAATTCTCTTTCTCTCCCTCTCGATTCTACCCTCTGCCTTTCATCCCTGCTGCCTCATCCGCGCACGCCTTCACCTTTCTCCCTCACCGGTGCGGTGCCCCGACACGCTGCCCTCCTCCGCAACGACCCCACGCGCGCGGACGCGTCCATCTGAGAGGCGCCACCGCGATCCCGAAACCGCTCTCTTAAGCTTCCACCCCCCCGCCGCCGCGAAACAGACCCTGTGCGCGGGGGATTGCGAGGGAGGGAAAGAGCTTGTATTTATTATGCGCTTGAACAGATCCTAGATCTTCCCCGCGAGTGAGCCAAGATTCTACTCGGTTCCTCTGAAAGACCTGCCTGTATGTTAGGAAGATTTAAGAAGATGTACTATCTGAACGATTTCAAATATATTACATTTAGCGAATTTCAATCTCGATTGTTATCAATCTTTGAAGAAAAATGTCGATTTTATTGATCAAGGCAAATAATATATTATAGAGGAAACGTTAACAATCTGGAATCTTATAATCAGAATCTTTTAAATCGATATAAATGAAGTGGACAAAGATTTGATAATTCCAATTATTAATATCAGTAACGTTTAATAAAAAATGTATGCATTTTTTGAGCAATTATTGGATAATTACATCAACTTTTGTCTGGTATCTGAGAAGTAAAACTACTTAGAATCCTACGATGTAACGTTTTGCTTGCAGTTACTGCGCACAGAAGATGTGCAAAATCTGAACCTATTTACTAAACAAAAACAGGAAAATAAGTAGACTATGCAGTATTTTGACTGATAATAATCTATCAATATACTAGACAATAACTAGACAGGTGTCTAAGCAAATTGCACATATTTTTACTAGGAATATTGCTTTGATCACTAAATGGAGATCTATCGAGTTGTTGTCCATTTCCTACGCAGTATTATTACAACTAATAATGAAAATACAGAAATACTAAAATGGATGTCTAGAAAAATTCATACATTTTTACCAGAGAATTTCATAAAGGAATAAACACAAATACATCCAAACTGGTCAACTGAATAGAACTTCATGAAACTTTTACTACGTTCTTAGTCATAAAATCGTACAAGTAAAAAGATTTTATGTAGAAATGATCAAGAGAGTCAATATAGCAGCTTGCGAAATAAAGCTGTTTTTTTAATCACATTAGATCAATTTTAGTATACCTACTTCTTTTTATATGTCACGATTAATCTTCCGGAGTTGAGTCTAGTAGTCACTTAATTATATTTGTAGCAATTGCATCGCCGTTTGCTTCGACTGCACAACAGTATTAAGAATAATTCCACTTAATAAATTCGTGACAATCTCATATACAAGAGAACATGTATGATTGACATATATAGGCTGCACGGGCAAGCGATATTAAGCCGTGGCTCAGAAAATTTGAAGCTTTCTCGAACACAATCAAAGAACATGACAGGCTGTACAGTAGAAATCACGCGACGATCGCGCAACAACAATCTAGAATTCGACTATTGACTCTTGTCGCGTATGAATCTCTCGCAATACATCTATCGCCAGTAATAAAAGAGCTTATAAACCATATTAAA